CTGGGGGGGCGGGAAGTGGGAGGGGCAGGGGCGGGGCTAGGGCGGGGCTCCTCCCGTCCTCTTTTTTTCTTGCTGAAATATGGTAACCCTAGATTATTTTATAGCTTAAACTATGTGTATTTCTAAGAATGACAGTCCCAAGATATTCAATTCTTTTATACCTAAAAAGGGCTTAACTTTTATTTGCTATTAACTCAACATACCTCAAAATTTCTCTTTATGATAAATTCAGCATATGGTTTCCTAACTGGTTATATTCCAGAGAACACGTGCTTTGACTTTTTAAAATATTTTTTTCTAACTGTCAAAAATATGCAATGTTGAATGCAGAATGTCTTCTTCCTATATACAACAAACAGGCTCAGCATAATAAAGTGTATTGAAACTATGCCAAGAAAAATCAGCCTTTTACAATCCAACTGGCAAACTCTCAAACCACAGATAAATTCTAAACCACCAAGGAGTCATGTTTAAGACATACAGAGTGGTACTCTAGCAAAAAAGCTAAAGAATAAAAGTAGCCTTTATTCCCATGAGACTGATGAGAGGGGGAAGTTGCAGTATACATTCTAGAAGAGGAGGTAGCCATGTTAGTCTGTATCTACAAAAACAACAAGGAGTCTGGTGGCACCTTAAAGACTAACAGATTTATTTGGGCATAAGCTTTCGTGAGTAAAAACCTCACTTCTTCGGCATCCCTATTCTAGAAGAGGGTACACAGTAAGAGATTGATCCTTCTGCCTAAATCAAAAACAACAGATTATGGACATCTTTTGTGGTGAAAATAAAGAATATAAGCCATTTTCAAGGGCATTTTGAGAGCCTTTGGGAAATAATGTCATCCCATGGGTATGATATTCCACTTACAAAATTTTGTTTGAAATGAACATTTTTTGAGGTACAAAAAAGATTTTTTTCCTATATCGTTGATACTTTGAAAATGCCACCAAAAACTTTTTAAAATCACATTTGACTCTTGTTGGACAGGCCACTGATAAAGGAAACAAACAACACAACCTGTAACTTTGGTTGTACTCAAAAGAAAAGATTTGGAAAATATCAGTATCATATGGCAGCCCTTTTAATGAGTACTAAATTCTAATCATTTTAATGAGTTTAACACAATACATCAACAGACAAAATGGCTGTGAATTTAATAAAGTCTGATATTTGTTTTTCCTGCTAAACAATATGTATTTTACCACTTTTAAAAAATGTTTTAGTTAAATTATTAAGGCAGGGGTAGGCAATCTATGGCACGTGTGCCGAAGGCGGCATATGAGCTGATTTTCAGTGGCACTCACACTGCCCGGGTCCTGGCCACCGGTCCGGGGGCTCTGCATTTTAATTTAATTTTAAATAAAGCTTCTTAAACATTTTAAAAACCTTATTTACTTTACATACAACAATAGTTTAGTTATATATTATAGAAAGGGTATGTCTTCACTACCCACCGTATCGGTGGGTAGCAATCGATTTATCCGGGATCGATATATCGCGTCTCATTAAGACGCGATAAATCGATCCCCGAACGCGCTCACCATCGACTCTGGAACTCCACCAGAGCGAGCAGCAGTAGCGCAGTCGACGGGGGAGCCGCGGCCGTTGATCCCGCGCCGTGTGGACCCCAGGTAATTCGATCCAAGATACTTGAACTTCAGCTACGCTATTCGCGTAGCTGAAGTTGCGTATCTTGGATAGATCCCCCCCCCAGTGTAGACCAGCCCAAAGAGACCTTCTACAAACATTAAAATGTATTACTGGCACACACAACCTTAAATTAGAGTGAATAAATGAAGACTCGGCACACCACTTTTGAAAGGTTGCCGACCCCTGTATTAAGGTCTTTTAAAAATGCACTGTACTTCTCATATAGTATCTTAGTTTATTGAAAATATCCAAGAGCTGACAAACCCAGAAGAAGTGGGGAGAGAAAGAAAGAGACAGAGAAACAGACCAATGAACAGTTCTATGTATCATCTGTGTTTAAACACTTCTACAGAACTTCATGAGTTAAGGAGATGAGGTGAAATCCTAGCTCCCCTTAAGTCAATGGGAATTTTGTCATTAACTTCAACAGGGGGGCAAGATTTCACTGACAATGAGAAGCCTTCTCTCTGAATAGCCTAGTTTTTATGTGCAATTCAGGTGAGTAGTGTTAACTTGTGTAATTACTTTTTGTTTAAAGCTCTAGCTGCTTGATGTTAGTAACTGAGATATGGTTAGCAGTGGCATCTGTCTCTCTTTAAGCATTCACGGCCTCAGCTGCTCTCAGGAGACAAACTTTTAGTCCTTTGTTGAAAGGTCAGTTCAACATCATGGCTTCTGCAATCCCCAGGTAATTTGCTTCATTTTCTCTGGCTGTGAATCTGTTAGTCTTAAAACTTAAGGAAAGGCAAAAGTTCTGCACATGCTAAATGAGTTCATGAATGGAAATATCATACCTTGATTCTAAATTCCAGCTGGTTGTTAATTGTGTACATCATTTCTGTCCTTTCCATTTTTCGAGCCCCTTCGTTGCATAAACGGACCAACTAGAAAGAAAAAGGAAAAAAAGTGTTCCTGCTTTAATGTATTTAGATATTGCATTACTAGCTTTTCCTTTATATGGCAACTTTTCTGTGGAAATGCATACCACTGAAGAAGCAAGAAAATCAAAGAAATGGATATTTTTATAATAAACCACAAAGAGGATTGATTATTCCACATAGAGTAGTACATGTGGCACAAAGTATCTAACTCAAAAGGATTGCAGATCGTCAGTCCAAAAACTTAATGGGCACCCTGAGAGAACATAAACTATAACTTTGGAAGTAAGTGAGTTGTGTAGTTGTGACCCAATGTTATATGCTGCTCTTACAACTGCAGACATGCAAATTGTTTACTGAAGGAAGATACCAAGGCAAACGTTATGATGCTCTTTTGGCAAGCTAAGGAAGGCAGTATTTCACAAAACTATTCACTCGTGCTTTAGAATGCGATTTGAAAATGTGTTATATTCCTCTAGAGAACAAAAAAGGAAGATCAGGCATCTAGATATGTTAAATTGAAAAAATTAAACACACTCCTTAAACCCTTCCATGGGCTCCCCAAAAATCAATGGGCCCCTTCTTGTTTTTCACTTCCTGGAAGGGGGGAGAGAGCTGTCTGAGCAACAGCATACTCCATTGATTCACTTAGTTCCCCAGATCCTTCCAGTACCACAGCAATTCAATGAAAAGTATAGCTAATGTACTGAATGCTAACACCATGACCCCTGCTAATCCCTGCCAGTGTTGAGTGGTGGAGAGTAGGCTGAAAGTAGGAACACAAATCAATTGAGTCTGTCTGGATAGCCTTCTCTAGGCTAACTTGCAGCAATCAAAAGTCTAGAAAGGACAAATGAGCCTTCCAGCTTTTCTAATAGGAAAAAAAGCTCACCTTTTATTTTGCTATAATTGTTGTTGGGGAGATAGGAAGCAGCATGTTAGTAAGTTAGGCTGTTCGATTTTTAGTGGATTTTATACAGGAGACAAATTAAACTAGGCAATGAATTCAGTGCAACAGCTGAGTAATTTGAAGAAGATGGGGACAAAGCCCTTATACACTAAGCTCTAGGATATCCTTCCCTGAGGAAAAAAAACAAACTGTAAAACATTTGTTCTACAGGAGGATTTTTATGAGTCAGGGATAAAAGTCATGCTTATCGGGTATAGTTAAGCAGCATCCGGAGAAAGGGGTATGAACAATATCAGTCAGGCAAATTCTCCTCCCCCTTCTCCTTTTCAGTCTGAATACTCTGTACACCACAAGAAGTTCCCACAATAAAATTCAAGTGTGTTGGCAGCAGTATTGTGTTACTGCAGCAGTTCAGAATTTTTTCAGAGAAACAGAATGATTTAAATGTGAAGCTGATCTGTCAGTGACTGTTCCTGAATAAAGCAATTTGGCATTTTCATCCTTCATTACTCTTCCGCTTTAAGAGAAAAATTGTCAATTTCCATGCATAAATAATTTAAATGAGCCAGGAATGTTCAGAGCCTAAGGCAGTGTCTAGCCCTAAATATATTTCCAATAGGGGGATGCCCAATCCATCAAATTTAACGACATTCAATTGCGTGCCGCAGGATCTCAAATTCTAAGATCTCAGAGGCTAGTCCCTAGATTTCCATTTCAAACCGTCTTTCGTCTAATTTCAAAAAAGCTTTTGAGGCCAACAGTGATTGTACAGAGTTTTCATTGTGACTTTGGAAGTTGTCATGAATGCCAAATTCTGAAACCTCGTTATCAGCTTTAAAAGAAACGTATTGGAGGTTATTGTAGAATTAATTATGGGCAATATTTATGCTTTATGTATTAGTGGGTTGTTCCTCTATTGTTGTGTGTATTCAATACTTGTTCCATGCTGAAGAGGGATTTTCAACACAGCTCTTATTGACTGGAATGGTTTAATTTCACTTTAAAAAAAAATCCTTAAATGTTCCTAGGAGCTCCAGTTTTCTAACTCTAAAAAATCCATGGCAGTTTCCAGGCTTTGGGTGTTGTACCTCTATCCCTTTTTTTGGACAATGACGGGGGAATAGAACCAAGTTGTCCAATTTCATTATGAAATGCATGATCAAGACAAATAATGAAGGAGGCAAATAATATATCAAATAAGTGTTTATAATATATAATAGCCACTTATTTGAGATATATATATATAAAAATAAGGGGCCAAAGCCATTTGGAAAAACAAAAGCGAGCATGTCTCAGATTGGTATATTGAATTGGCCAAAGCACACTGCACAACTGAGGAAGAAAAGAGGCTAAATAGAAGCAGGTCGGCTGTGTAGGATTTGCTTTTTAAAACATACCTTGCTCACTTCTTTTAAGGCTCGTTTGCAGATCTCATATTTTGGTGACTCTTTAGGGGTTTTCTGACAGATGGTCTGAAATAAAAGTCAATCAATTCAGAGAACTGAAAACTGTATATTGTTACATCTAAATCAGATGAATACAGAATTACAATACGATTAATGAAATTAAACATGGATGGGCAACATGGCAGCATATTTTCCTACCAACCAGAGCTCCTCGGTGCACATGGAGTGTGTATCTACTGATGTGCTCTTTAGGGAGTGCAGCATGCCGATATCAATCTATGGTCTGATGCAGGGGGAGGGAGTAAGCACGGACCTGCCTGCTCAGAGCACCATGTCCTCCCACAGGCTCTGGAGAGAGCAGTCCCTGTGCTCCCTTTCAATTGTCTCTGGTCCTTATGAAGACCATGGAAAGTGGGGAGGGAGGGAGGGAAGCTCTTTGCACTCTTTACTCCTACTGTATAAGGGTTAAACATAATCCAGTCACTAATGTTCAAAGCACTGTGGAACTTTTGCTGAAAGTTGGCTAACCATGTGAGTTGGTCATGAAAATAAAAAGTTCGGCCAAAATAAACATCTTGTATCAATATGTTCCTAATAATGAAGGGGCTAAATTATGTTCTTCAGGTGAAATTATGTTTTCACAGTCTGAATGTAAGAGAATCATTCTTTTCATATTTCAGTTTAAGTGAAACAATGAAAACTCACTATAAAGAAAACATTTCAACAAAGTTCAGAAAATTATCTCCGAGAAAAAACTGTTTTGTAATTTTCCATTCTGTTCAGCTGTTATATGCTTTCATTTCTGAAGAGGTATCCTGAATTTAAAGAGTTAGTTTGGATGTTTTGGGTTTTTTTTTAAACAAACACAGGGATTTATTGAACAATGGAGTATGGCCCATGAGGCCAGGATGTATAAACTAGTAACTGTAGATATATAAAGGACTATTACTTAATCAACCACTGTGAAGTATTGAACACATCCCCACAGTTATTGCAGTATTCATAATTATAGATGTGACTGACCTGCATAGGTCCTGAGCAGGGTCTTACTAAAGCCAGAATTCGGGTGTGGATTTTAATCCATACCATTGGCAGCAGTGCAGATCACATTTCAGTCCTGGCATCCAAACCAAAATGCCAGAGACCTCATAGTATGTATGTTTCTATCAGATTTTGACCTCCGCTTCTTAGCACTCTCCCTTGCTGTAGGCTCTGCCAATCCCTGCTGCTGTCTGTTGGAAGGGAGAACCCCACACATCCCACCATAACAGGCTGTTACTAGCTATGGATGTAAATGATGTTTCCCTGTAGTGGCTGCCCCATTGAGGGCACAGGAGCGATTACTAAAATCGTTAGCTAAGGATCAGATTGTGACCCCCTTAATTTTCATAGTGCCAAAAGGACTATTCCTGTGAGAAAAGTCTGGCCCTAAAGGGGGAGTCCTTTAGTCAGTATGGCAGAAAGCCTATGTTTTGAACTGAAGGACCAGGTTCTAGGCCCAATTCTGTATGTGTGCAACTTCTATGGTAGTTGTGTCTTGACTTTGACTTCGTCATACAGTTTCATTAGAGACTGGTGCCCAATTGTTTGACTTGAACTTCTGCACAATTCCTTGGTCACTGCAAGTGCAAATAAATGCCACCACCCACTTCACAATTTCCTCTTTGTTGTTGACAGACCAGTTTATACAGCCATGGCCCCAATCTAAACCAGGTGAGATGGGAATGGTCCAATAACTTTAAAAAAAAAAGAAAGGTTGCTTAATTTCCAAGGACACAGAATACACAGAAAAAAATAATCTGTTCTCACATCCATCAGCAATGGAAGGCGTGTAACCCTCTGCATTGGAAGAATGAGGAAAGAGATCATAGGTAAATTCCTGCAGTCTTCATGGGACTCAATCCGTGACAGCACTTCCTTGAAGGCTGGATTTGTAGCTCTGAAGAAAAAAAAAGAAACCACTTTTTTTAAAAGGTTGCTTTAATTTAGAAATGTGAATTTCTCTTTTCAAACAGCATTGATGTCAGTAAATCAGAGGAAGGGCAATCTGAGGGAATCTCATCCTTTTAGTGTTCAACAGTTACATTTAGAAATATTATACAAATATAACTGATATTTAGAGACATCAGTACAGTGTGCGCATGCACACAAACTATGCAATGAACGATACAAAGGGAAAAGTATAAAAGCATTGCTATAAAGAAACTAGTAAAACTATGCTGGTCCATGAAGACAATTTAGCATGACTGCAAATAGGACTGGACTCTACAGCCAAGTATATTTTCACCCTCAATTACATCAATGGAATTAAACATGTGCTTTAAAATAAGCATGTTCTTAATGGATATGCTGAATTGGAGCCTAGATATTATGCTTCAAGAAATCCTGATTGCTACCGTTAAGGGGATGATTTAAAAACATGCATTTTAAGCATCATTTCTTACAATAGTTTCTGGAGTGTTCGCTGTTGGTAGACTTCATTAGTACAATATTTCACGTATGGATCAAATGTTGATGCAGTATGCTTTTCGACAATATCACTAATATCCTCTATGAAGATGTTGTTCTGATGCCTTGCTTCAAGTTCTTTAAAGAACCTGCAAAGGAAGAGAAGTAATTACCAATTTCACTAAATATAATTAATAATGGTTTGTCTCTTGTAGCATTTCAAACTTCACTTGACAGGATATCGGATCATTTCACAAAACTTTTAACCACAAACAAACAAGGGGCAATATAGGGACAATCTGAGAAATTTGGGGACTCTGTAGGGGAGGAAAAGATTAACTGATGTGAGACCCTCATCCCATCGGCTCAACTGTCCATGTATTTCTTACACAATATATGTAAAGGAAATGTGGCATAACCTGTCAGACTTCAGCAGAAGCAATGCTGACCAAGTTATTTTTTCACAAACAGTCAAAACAGAAAGAGTACTACTAATAGGATGCAGCGGTATTTTTCAGCATATGGCTGAAAAGGAAGTGAAACTACTTGAAACACAACATATGCGATTCTACGAGTACTGAATCTTTTTTCCTTGTAGTAATGGACGTGCAATAGCATAGCTGCAACAATAACTGGAAAACTTCACACCAACTTGAACGACAACTACAAAACTAAAATGAAAATTAAATTAAATTAAATTGCCGGTTGATGTGCTGAATGATCTGGTAAACAAGCAGAGTTCCTACCCTGCTCCAAATAGAGCACACTACAGAGTTCCTACCCTGCTCTATACCATTCAGCATACCATTAAAGCCAAACCCAGAAAGGAGATACTGAAGTCTAAAACTTAGGTTGACCTAAGCTATGTCGCTCAGGGGTATGAAAAATTCACACCAGAGACACAGTTAAACCAACCCAAGCCCTGGTATAGATACTGCAGAGTTGACAGAAGAATTCTTCCATCAACTTAGCCACCACCTCTTGAGGGAGGGGATTTACTAGAGTAAAACCCCATCTGTCACTGTAGCAAGTGTCTACACTACAGTACTGTAGTTACTGACAAAGCTGCTGTGACAAATGAAGGGGGGTGTAGGTAGCTCCCTTTTATAGACTCCCAGCCAGCCAATAGCTATAAAATCCCTCTTAGAAGCTGTTCTCTAATTGCTCTACCTGTAAAGAGTTAAAAAGTCTCACTACTATGCACAGGGCAGCGGCTATGGTGTAAGGCCCTTGGACCAGGTATGAAAAATCATCAGTATCATACTTAGAAACTACTTATTTAAAACCCCAGATATGTAAGTAGATTGGAAAATGTCTAGGAAGACCAAATTGGGTTAATCCCTTTTATTTCGTTATGGCTTGTGGATTCCTCTGTGCTAACCCCAGGTGCTTTTGTTTTGCTTGTAACCTTTAAGCTGGACCTCAACAAAACTATTCCTGGTGTTTAATTCTTTTAGTGGCTCTTAAAATCTAGCAATAGCCTGAGTTCCCAGATAGATCGATAGATAGATAGATAAAATATTTTTTTAAATAAAATTTACCTCTTAAGAGGTTTGTGCACATGTTGTTTAATTAGCTGGTGGCAACAGCTGATTTCCTTCCCCCCCCCACTCCTTTCTCAGCTCTTCCCCAAAGGGTGTGTGTGTGTGAGAAAGGGCTTGAGGGTACTCCACAGAAAGGAATTCCCAAGTGCATCTTCCTGGGTTCTCAAAGGGGTTCTGCACTTCGGTGGTGGCAGCATCTACCAATCCAAGGTCAGAGAAAAGCTGTAACCATGGGAGTCTAATACAAGCCTGGAGTGGCATGTATTAATTTTTAGAATCCTTGTGGGCCCCCACCTTATGCACTCGAAGTGCCACAGTGGGGAATTAGCCTTGACAGCTCCTGAAGGATATGGTTATACAAATATATTCAGTGTTGAATCCCTTGCAAGTTTTTCTCTATTTTTCTCTTTCCTGGCTGTAATGACCCGTCTCCAATTCGAAGAGGCATAATCTCACTGGAAAGCCTCTAACCCCTGCCGCTCTAATTTCAAAGAATGAGATAATGCACATTGTCATTGATTTATATTATATTAAGTACTGACCATGTGATTTGGAGAAGAGTAGTGGCTCACAAAGAACACCAGTCTGCAGTTCTATCTCGTACTATATATGGTGACTTATTCAACTGGTGGTGAACTGGTGGTTTGCCAAAAGAGTCTCTGGAGGCCTTCAGAATTCTATTAATCAAGCAGGGCAAGTTTTCAAGTTGTGTCATCTACTACGTTATGAACTACAACCTTCAGCTTTATAGTACAGACCAACCTAGGTGCTGTCATGATCCATGGATATCGAACCCAGGTCCGCAGGGTTTACAGGAGTGGCTAAGCTCCAACCCTGCGCCTGCCAGCTTGCTGACAACTGCTTATCTGGGACCCATGAAACCCAGCCCCAGTTCCAGGCTCCACCTGAGGTCCTACTGGTGGAGTCCCAGAGCAGCCAGCTGGTCCAGCAGGAACAGGAAGCTGTTTAAACAACTTGGCTCCACCCTGCTCCTGCTCCACACATTGACTTCCTGGCATCTTGAGCTGGGTCGACTCTTGGCATCTGACTCGTGGTTCTGATCTCAAGTTTGTCTCCTGCTTCTGATCTCCCTGTATCCTGACCCAGCTGACTCTTGACTCCTATCTTGTGACTGTGACTCTACAACCTGACTGACAACTGCAGGCAGTGACTAGAAACCATTTCCACCATTTTTTTAGTTGCAGAAACTCTTAGCATATTGCTGATTAATTTTATACAGGAAATGATGAACTATGGCATTTCTTCCCATTTCATATTTTGGCATGCTGAAAAGATCATAGAATCATAGAAGATCAGGATTGGACGAGATCTCAGGAGATCATCTAGTCCAACCCCCTGCTCAAAGCTGGAGCAAACCCAACTAAATCATCCCAGCCAGGGCTTTGTCAAGCTGGGCCTTAAAAACCTCCGAGGATGGAGATTCCACCACCTCCCTAGGTAACCCATTCCAGTGCTTCACCACCCTCCTAGTGAAATAGTGTTTCCTAATATCCAACCTAGACCTCCCCCACTGCAACTTGAGACCATTGCTCCTTGTTCTGTCATCTGCCACTGCTGAGAACAGCCGAGCTCCATCCTCTTTGGAACCCCCCTTCAGGTAGTTGAAGGCTGCTAGATGTTTGACTATATGAACTAGAACATTATCCTTACGTTTTAAAAATTAAATCATATTTTTTGCATCAAGTGCTCAGTCCATAATCCTTTCAGAGAACAGTAAAAATCTAGGTAGGAATGTTTTAGAAGAGAAGGGAAATAACTTATTTAAAAACAAAAAACCAACCCACAACCTACCTAGAGCAGCAAGCTATTCTTATATAGAGTGCTATGAATCAAGATTTGGATCAACAGGTTCCCTTTGTGCATCCAGCTTACTATAACTTACCAGTAAACCAGTTACTTCAATAAATCCTTTTACTTTATAGGTTAGAGGAGATTTGGAGATTAAAAATTAGTTCTGATCAATCATAAGAGCTGCTCAACACCAACTGTGTCTGGCCTTTTAATACCAGAAGACTTAAAGTGTTGCTGTTTCCTTTAAATCTAAGAAATTTTTCTCATTATTTTAAATGGGTTCAAAGTTTAAAGTCAGACAAGACCTTGAAAGAGGGTCTAATTCTTTCGCCATATCTTTGGTAGTTAAAATAAATATCCAATCTGTAATTCTTTTTTTAAGGGCTATATAAACTAATTTAGAAAATGCATCTTTATTGATTTCTTAGATCAAGGAACAATAGACTTAGCTTTAGTCAATCCTACCTCCCCATTGAGAAAGGAAGAATCTCTCCAAATGCTTGTTGCTTTAATTTGGCAGCTCTTGTTAAGAGTCTTTCTATGTTTTACGCTGATCACTAACCTTCAGTTAAGCATTACACAGGAACAGCGCCTTGATATTTGTGCTGGCAGTTTGCTCATGCTATGTTTTCCTGCTAATATGAACAGTTTTAACCCTTGATTTACCATCACAAATGCCTTAAAAGCCATACAGTTAATTGATATAATTCATATGAGCTAGCTACTGTAGGGGCCAAATCATGCCCTATTTATACAAACAAAATTTTCACAGACTTCAGTGGGAGTTTTGTACAAAGCAAACAGGAATTAGCTCAAGGTAAAAGCTCTAAGCTCCCTAGAAGGAATCAACACTTAAATCAACCCTTTCATTTTGGCAAACATTTCCTCTCAAATTCACCACAAAAGAGTTACTGAACAAGATTGACAAATTTGAAGACACTTGGCAGTTGGGTATGCATGTAGGTGGACACTTAAGCCCTTTAACCAGGATAATTTAGGACTGGATCTGTCTCCCATTAGAACACACTAAAGTAAATCGCATTCCTTCACAAGTGGTCAGTTTGTACTTCTATTTCTCCATGTGCTATTGATTAAAGGAGTCTCTAAGTAGGGGGGTAGACAATCAGTACTTAATTTCCTTATCCTATGTGCACTACTTAGTATGAAAACTAAAACTACAGCAACAGAATATGACTAGGAAGTCTCTAGTTATATCTGGGTTCTAGACTGCTTGTTCCATTTCCTTTGCTGTTGTAAGTTAGGGCTCCATTCTTAGAAACGCTGAGCATTGTTGCCAGGTGCTAGGCCTTCAATTCCCAACCAAAATCACTGGCAAGTGGGGGTTCTCTGCACTTCACATGAGTGCTCTTCACCTTGTAGGATCGAGCACTTTAAAGATCCTTTTCTATCCTCATGTTACTTAATGTCCTCTAGTTCTTAAATTCATAAAAAGCCATGAGAAACAGGCTTATTCTGTATGGATTCAGATGAAGATGTGTGGATCTTCTGCTGTCTCAGCCTTTTCTTCACTGGTTGTCTAGCTAAGTACAAACATTATTTGCTCTCCTCTGCTCCCTGCCCCCAAAGAAAAATTTCAAACTGTCCATTAAAATTATTTCCCTTATGTCTTTCTCCACCCCAGGGTCTTATTATTTAAATTACAGCATATTTATTGTTTCACACCGGGGACTTCGATGTGCATCACGTTCTAACATGCTAATTTCTTCTACAATGTAATAGTTTGGTGGGCTTTTTAAAAATCCTTCCACCAATTTCTGTGATCAATGGGTCAG